GCAGTAGTATTTTGGTGAAAAGACTAAAGCAAAGTTGGAAGAACAAAGTTCTAGATTTCTATTGATGTCTTGAATGATGAAAAATAACATGGGGTAAGGGCCTTTATATATGCACAAAATTATATCTATGCCTAATATACCTAGGGATCAAATAAAGCAATAAAATATTAAATGTCCTAATTATAATGCTAGTTGGAAACTAGATCTCTTGGTGTGCACTCCAAGCAATCCTCTCTCTCTCCCATACTCTTGCGCACGCACGCCCTTAGGTTGGTCGCCGCCATGTCCACGCCCTAGTCCTCGCGGACTAGGGCACCGCCCCTTTCGCGCGCATGTCGCCCATCCGGCGTGCCACGCACGCCGTTGCTTCTCGCCGCCTCAACGCGCGCGTGCGTCCCGCCCAGCTGTCCGCATTCATCGAAGACTGAAGGCTCGAGCGCGCGTGCTTCCCCATCGCGTGGTCCTTCTGCGCGCGTGCTCCCGAACACCGCGGCCCGCGCGTCCTGTTCACCCACGCCCGCGTCCTCCGTGCCCCTTACCTGCACGCGATAGGCGTCCGCTGCGTGCGTACTGCTGCCGCGTGTTTCGCCAACGTCCTCGCCTTCCGCCCATGTGTCTGGTCGTTATCCATCTTCGGAGTCAGAAAATCCAACTCCCGAGTCTGCCCGACAAGAATCCCCAGGTATTTCTTCATTTTCTCTAAATTTAAGCGACTCCGATTAAATTGCTAGTGGTTCTCCATCTGAAAGACCTGTGGGGGTGAAGAAAGCCAAACTAAAAAGAAAGGTAAATGATGATTCATCATCGCTCATCAATGCTATGAAGGAAGAAAACATAAGACTTGTTGAGGAGATGAACAATACAAACGACCAAATAAAACATCAATTGGAAATACGCGACAAATCTCATGCTTTAAAAGAAATGATGGAAGAAAATAGAATTTTCCCATTGAAGAGTTAGGCAAGAATACCAGATCAAATCATCACAAGCATCACCAAAGATAGAGAGGGATTAAACAAAACATTTCCATTTCAAGAAGATTATGAAGAGTTCACACATTACAAAAGTTCATTCAAATACAAATGGCAACTGAAAAATACAACACTACACTACGTAGGAGGGGCAACAGTCGAGTCGGCGTTGCTCGAGCTAGCGTTTGGATCGAGCTGGGGGCTGGTGCCAGAGGTCGAGTCACAGGCTTCGTTAAGTGGGCGTTGTCGAATAGATTCAGCCATTGCGACCAACATGGCGGCTGGAGGAGTAGCGTCATCAGGCAGAGCAAAGGTCTTCTTCAAGATGTCCGATCGATCCAAGGTTCTTTTGAGCTCTCCCGACCACCATTCATGCTCGAGCGTCAGATTAGGGTCACCCCGGAAGCTAGAGGGAACCTTTGGTAAGGCATCCCAAATAGCCCCGGGTCGAGCTGCTCAAAGTCATCTTCGGCGATCTGCTCGCCAGCCTTCTGCAGGGCAAACTAGAAGCAGTCTACCCCGAAATCTTGAACCTCATTTAGAAATTGTGGCGACTACATGAAATCAGCCACCACTTGTGCACGATGTTCTCGGAGGAAGAGCTACCCGGTTGTCATCTCCCAAAGCATTTGCCTAGCTTGTAGAGCGGTGGCATTTGCATATTGTTGCTTTTCTTCAGCATGGCCAGCCCTTTCCTTGGCAAGGGTGGCCTCCAACTCGACTCGAGCAGCCTCCACTTGTGCTCGAGCCGCTTCGGCCTGAGCTCGAGCGGCCCGCTCCTGCTCGAGCACTGTTTCTTCTCTTTTAAGGCAACTTTCTTTTCTGCCACTGCCACCTCCTTCACTGCGAGGGCGGCCTCTCTCTCTGCAAGAACTTTATCCTTTTGGACGAGCTCTCCATCAAGGGACTTAATCTGGACTTCGAGCTCGACCTTCTGTTCTGTATGTGTCTCGCATAGTTTGGCATTGTGTTGTAGGAGAGTCAAGTTTTTAACCTGCAGAAAGCCAATGGTGCCCTCGAGGCTCTTTATGGACTTCCCAGAGCTGTCTCGAGCCTCTTTAGCTAGAGGCAAGAACTGAACCAAGCCCTATAATCGGAGAAGGTAAAACAATTCAATCCATGTGTCGAAAATGGATGGTAGGAAGGAATCGATGCAAATACAAGACAAGTAATACCTGGGAAAGCCATTGAACGAGCTGGTCGCCAACTTCGGGCAAAGTGGCGTTGGAATTTTTATGGTCGTCCTCGAGGAGGGCACCCTCGAGGCGCTCGGCCACTTCATTCCTAGAGGCCGACAATAGTGATGCAGATTTTGGGGCCAGCGGGTCAGGCCAAGAATGGCTGGCACGCCCCCGTTTTCAGACTATTCTGCCTTGGTCAGTGCGAGAACGTTTTCCCAGGGTCAGGTCGCGCCCCGCATCATCTCGACTACTAGACTCGAACAGAGCCTTGGTCGAGCCAGCATATAGGCTCTTAGAAAAAGAATGGTCGACATGAGCGTCTTGGGTCTTGGTTTTGGACGAGGCATTAGGTTCAGAAGATTTGTCGGTGGTTTTGGAAGAAGTGGCATCCTTGGGATTGGAAGCTCGAGGGTCGATTTTTTGGTGGCGGTTGTCGGTTTTTTGGCGGTCGTCAGTTTTTTGGTGGCGGCCGTCAGTTTTATGTTGGCGGTCAGTGGATTTTGGTTGGCGATCATCAGTTTTAGAGGTGGTCGAGGCCTGGATGGTAGAGTCGGAGGCAGATGGGTGCTGAGATGTTTTGCCGGGAGGAGGTGGAGGAGTTTGGTGTTATTGGTGTTGCTGCAACTGTTGTTGTTGTTGCTGTTGTTGTATTTGCGGTTGTGGTTGCGGTGGTTGTTTATGCTGAGGTTGGCGGGGAGGTGAGGGTTGGCATCACTCAAGATGAGACTGGGAAGATGTGGTCGATCCTCCAGCCTTGTCCTCGAATGACCCCGAGGTATCCCCTACTTTCCGCTTCAGAGGAGTCTTCCTCGGATGAATGTTGAAGCTAGGAACCTCTGCAAAAAGGTAACAAGAACGTTAAACCCAACATTAATAACATTTACATAAGACGAGAACAAAGGATCGCATATGTATTCGAGCAATCCGGTCAAGGATTACCTGGATCATTCTCAAGTCGAATGAGATCAAGGATCTTATCGGTAGGAGGAGAACAAATTTTATGGGTGAGAAGGCCGCAATGGTGGAGAAGGTTCTCATCCTTGAGGAGTCTTTCCGACGCAACGGGCTTGGAGTTCCATGTGTGGACCCGTTGGTCGAAAAGAGGATTTGGAGGAGGGGCCGAGGCTGCCTCTTGTGAAACTTCCTTGACCCAAGGGATGG